AAAAAGTCAAAGGAATAATACCTAATGAGATGAAAATGATGAAATTCAAAGTCCAGAGTCCAAAAATGAAGTTTTATTGGAGCACAGATATGCCTATTCACTTTTGTGTTATCTGTGGCTTTTATCAGACTACAACTCCATAGTTCAGCAGTTGCAGAGACCATAAGGACCTCAAAGACTAAAATATGTACCATCTATCCACATATAGAAAAAATTCGTCAACCCAAGTCCACGAGTAAGTAAAAATCTGCATTTGTATAGAGAATAATTTAGGACTATGTATTAGGTTAACTCATATACCAAATTTATAAAATAAGATTTCACTGAATATAGTCCTTAACTGTAATTCCATTTACCTTAAAGTATGTTCTGCTGCTTGAACTTTACTCAGTCCTGCTTGATGAGGCTGGAAGAAAAGTCTGTTCATATTGGCCAGTTCTACTTTGTCATAGTCAAAGAGGAGTAACTAAAATAAAAATTGATTCCAATGAAAAACATTCCAAAAAACTAAAATTAACAAATAGCAAACTAGTGGACCTACATTTGATTGCTTTAAGAGTCTGATGATGACATTAGTTAACTAAGACATTAGGTGCCATATGTGAATTCACTGAACACTTATGTGAGCTAAATACACAGGTACTATTATCCTCATCTTAAAGATGAGGCAACTAGAGCATTTGCCCAAAGGCTGAAAATCTTCATTTCTAACAAGCTCCCAGGTGATGCTGAGGCTACTACTTAGGACCAGACTTAGAGTACTAGCAAGACTCCAGCAATTCTCAAAGTTTAGTTAGTCCCTTGAACATCATTAGGATCACCTGAGAAGGTGTTAAAATGACAATGTACCTCATACCAACAGAATCAGAACCACTGATACAGGGTCTGGCAGTCTGTGTTTTCATAAGCTTTTCAAGTGCTTCTGATAACAAACTTGTGAACCACGGATCTCTCCCATTGATCTCTAATATCTTCACCAAACATGTTTTAAGTCGGCTATAAGAAATTTTTGGCCTGCCTTTGTAAACCTCTTAAAAGATATCAAAATTTTGATGGTGTTTTTGTATTGATGAATGAGTACCAAATCTGAAACCGCTTTAAGAATTTGAGGTACACCAACACATTACAAAGTATTGATAAACTATATGGGAAAATGTTTGCCTTATCAAAATGAAAAACTAAACGGTTTTCCACAATTATATAACTGTGGAAAGCTTATCTATTCAATTACTATGTATCTAACATCATAGACCTTGGTTTTATAAATCAAAGACTGATGGACTGAATTCTGGTATAAGTTTACTTTTCTTTCCTACACATAATCCAAATAAATATTTAAAACAAAATTTTAAAAATATGGATTAAAAAAAATCTGAACATTTTCTAGTACAAATTCAAGAGTAAGAAATACACAGAATAGAGAGCCTATTTGTCATTTAAATTATGTTTAATAAAATAATTTATATATGTTTCAGTGTTTCACTCATACTTTATCAATTTAATAGTCTCCTTTCCTAAATATCTATATCTAAAACACCTAAATCCAAATTGTTTATGTAATACCCCAAACAAAAAAGTTCCTGTAACCGTCCTTGTGTAATTATCAATAATATCAGTTTTTGTTTGGACAGGGATATATCTCAATATTTTGGATGGAAAGAACAATCTGAATAAATACACAACAAATGAGTAGACCATTAGTAGCAAGGAAAAAAGTCCTAACTTGTACCTGATTTGCTCCAAGAATGAGGAATTCCCTATGAGACAGGCAAAGAGAAATATTTTTACCTTACCAATGCCACATCTTGTCAGCATTTCAGCCGTCACACTACCAACTCCACCAACACCTACTATTGCTACAGCAAAGGTACGGATTTTCTGTGAAATGCAAAATTACATATGTTCTGGTTAATAGTTCTTCATTTAATTTGTCACCAGAAATTATTTTCATTTCCTGAAATTGTCTTCAAAAACTTGGAAAGGGTTATCATACCTCATAGTCGCTTACAATTCCCATTCGCTTCAAGGCCATCAGGCGGCTTAAACAAAGAAAAGAAAATGTTTTAGAGCTACAATTGATAAGTTAACAGTGATATAAACAGGCATACATCATTACATAAAATAAACACTGAAATTCAATCATTACTCCTCTTTTAAAATAAGAGGAATCTTTCAGTTGCTTTTTCCCAGGTGGAACTAAATTACCTAGTAGCTTTAAATACACTCATGTACCCTTCTCCTGGTGTAGCCTGTGAAATAATATATATGTATTTAAAAGCTACTTCTCTGTTCTAATGTGCAGCCGAGATCAATACCTGCCCAGTTATTAGTAGAAATCCTCTATTTTACTCTCTTCAATAAATAAATCTCCAATCTCTTCTCCTGGTGGGGAAGGGGCATTAGCTCAGCTACCCCCAGTGGAGTAAGGGTCCTTGGGTTCTGTTTTTTCAAAAGACTTTCTAGAAATACCTGTACCCATTTCTGAGCCTCTTGGGGCGATTGTGCGGTGTAAGTTGGGATGCAGATTTAAGATTCAACTTCTTAGAATCTGTTAAATCAGTCATCCTTCATCCATCAAAGTTTCCAAAATTATGTCACTATAATCTTCAAGTATAAGAACCCACTCCTCTCTCCCCAATTATTAATGGAAAACTTCTATTTTCTGAATGTGGGATTACCTTTTTTTTTTTAATTTTTTACTGTTTGTTTAGTGGGAGTGGGCAGAAGTGAACGTCAGTTCCTGTGGTCTGCCATCTTTATCTTCATGCTCTCTTTAATTTTACAAATAATCTCTGAGAAAAATGCATTGCACCTCCCTGATCTGGACCCCAGACCAGGAAAAAAATCAGGATAATTAAGACCAAAAAAAAAAATTAGAATAATTTATTGCCCACAGTCAGCTAACTGGCAAACAATATTTAGAGCTGAGTTTCTGAACTTGAGTTTGAAACTAGGTGTTCTAATCAACACTTCTGCTTGCCTCTCCAGTTTCTCCATGTGCTTATAATCATATTCTATACCATATGGGGATATAGCTCAGTTGGTAGAGTGCCCGCCTCCCTCACATACACAAGGCCTTGGATTAAATCCCCAGCACCACAAAAAAAAAAAAAAAAAAAAAAAAAAAGACACACATTTCTTTGCATTTTATCTTCGAGGGAAAATTTCCAAGTGTTCATTTGTAAAATTCAAACTTACTGAAATATGACAAATGGAATAGTTTGCACTCATTCTGATTAGAGATAACAGTTTCATGCTTATTCAATCTCTAAAGATTTTGGAACATTAACCCTTAATATTTACCAATACAGTTAAAACAGTGCACCTTAAAACTGCCACTGAGGCTTTATAATGTCACAAACAACAACAACAAAAACCCTCATGTTCTTTAAAGGAAAAAAAAAAATAATAAGAGCTCTTCTCTATTTCACGTTAAGACGACCCAGTTTTTAGCCACACTACTTAATGGCTTATTTATTTTTACAGGGAAGATAGTTTCATGTGAATTTTGGATTAAGTGAAACCTAATGCCAGTTCAGGCTTTGGGCATTATTATTTTTTTTGGGGGGGGGGCGGGCTTCAGGAATGTGCTATACCACTGAGGTTACAGCCCCAGCCCCAGTTCAGGCCTTATACTATATATAAAAACTTGAGAGCCCTCTAAGCCTCGATTCTCTCATTTATTAAATGGGGGTAAAACCCATTAGCGCTGCTGTATAGTTCTTACCCTTAACCACTGCACTGAACTGACAAGCTTCCCAAGGCAGCGAGAGGAACAGCAGGTCTTGTAAAGCAGAAAGGCCTGAGATACCCTTGTAACTCCTTCGCCCTTCTCCATCTAAATTTCATTGCAAAGCCTTTATGAATCTCCAAGTTTAGGCTAGGCGGGCTTTACGCTTGATGTCTTCTGAATGTTCTTAATCCTAAGCAAGGTGAGGAGGAGTAATTAGAGGCAAGAGCTACAGGAAGCCGAATGCACGCCCGCCGCGAGAGCAGGAGCAGTACCATATGGAAGGCTCGCTTGGGTTTTTAAAACCGAGAAACAACGTCTTCCGACCATCCCTAAACAGTGCCCTTGCGTGTTTGGGAACGGGACCCCAGACCAGGAAAAGGGTGGCGGGAGGCCGAGCTAGCGGGATGGGGCGCCCTTCTCACCCCACCGAGCTGGGGACCTCGCCCTCCTCCGACTCGCGACGCAGTCACCTGTAGGGATTGGAATCCACCACCTCTGAGCTCATCTTCTCAATGCGGGCCCGGCCGCCCGCTCCGTCGCCGTCACCCAGGGCCCGCCGACTTCTCTCCTGGGCAAGTTCCCGCTCCAGTTCCAGTACCCGCTGCTGCAGCCGCTCCACGGACTCGGCCATGGCTGGGACCCCCGCGGCCAAACCTCCCAGCCCCGGCCTTCTTCGCCGCCGCCGCCCCACGCTGCTCGGCTGGGCAACTTGCAGTCACCTTCCACGCCCACAGACCTAGAGCGGGGCCCCCAGCGCTTCCAAGACCGACACGTCTCTGCGGCTCCCGAAGACCTTCCAAGGTACCGCTTCCGGTGCGTCGCTCTCATCGCTCCCCTCAGCAAAAAACTCGCCTCTTTTGAGTTCTTTCTTTGCTACATCTGCTGTAACAAGCTGCCGCAGGACTGGGGTAATAAGTACCTAGAGCAAGAGGACGGCGACGTTGCCTTTTAACTAAGTGGCTAGGAGAAAACACCCGGATCTTTTATTTCTGGGCTCGAGGACCTGACGGACGGTCTCTTTTCTGAACCGGACCCTAGAGGTCTTCCGCACGCAGGTGCAGTAAATCGGCTGGGAGGGACTCCTACATCCTTGTTCGCTCGCACCTGTAACTACGGTTTTACTTTCTTTAAAACCGAGCCCTTCCAACGCTGGCACTGACAGGAATTTTAAAATTCGAGCACACATGGGTGCTTTCGGTATTTCTCAAGTCGCCAGATTCAGCGGGCCGGCCTAGCGCCGTAATGGAGCCCTAAGGTGTGTGATTGGCTAGAGCCAGGCCCCACCCGGCCTCGCCCCCAAGTCCTGAAGTGTAGTTGCTGCAACCTGTGGGGAACCTTGGCACTCCAGAACCTGTCCGGGCCTAGTCTGTGGCTTGCAGCTCGGCGACAGTCATGGGGACGGATGCTGCCCACGAGCCCGAGACCGCAGAAGTGCTGCCCCAGCACCAGTTAGACTGCAAGTCCTTGGATGCTTACCTAAACCGTCATTTGCCTGGCTTCGGGGCACAGCCCGGAGCTACGTTGACCATTACTCAGTACAGGTATCTGATGCAGCAGGAACAGATCTGTGCATTGTGCTTTCTTTCCTTTGGCCCTTCCAATTTACCCCATCCCGATTTCTTTTTCTGCAGTGACGCATCCTGCAGGCAGGGACTGCTTATTGTCTGTTCCAGAATTCCAATTCGGGCTGGTCCCAATTCGAGGGCAGTACCGGAAGCATCGTAACATTTGCCATAACATTGCCCACTGGAAATTTTGTTCAAGATTGAAATTATGTGACTCAAGGATTTACTCACTGAAGTAGTAGAGGCTGGAAGTACAGTGAGAAATTTAGTTACTTTCTCTGGCCTTTTGTGCCACAACCATAAGACTTTTTTTTTTTTTTTTTTTTTTTTTTGAGAAGCCGGTGTAATTACGTTTAATTGGCCATATTTCTTGGGGGCAGAGTTAGGGGTACCACCTGGAGGCTACAACAGCTACTAATGTCTTCACTTGGCAAGTTATAGCGCCGCTTTGGGCCTTAGTTTCTGAACCCAGGAAATAAAACTTGAAGAGCTGATCCAGAGAATACCGTTTTAAACTTTTTAAAACTTTATTTTAAAATTGTACTTTTAGGGCTGGGGTTGTGGCTCAGTGGTAGAGTGCTAGCCTAGCATGCGTGAGGTATTGGGTTTGATCCCCAGCACCACATAAAAAAACTAAACAAAATAAAGGTATTGTGTTCATCTACAACTAAAAAAAATTTTTTTTAATTGCATTTTTATAAACAGGGCACTGTAGAAAGACTCCTAAGTTCCAAAAAAACTTGATCTGCCACTTACTACGTGGGAATTTTAAATATATTACATAACCTTGAGAACAAGTTTTCTTTTGTGACATTTGCCTGTTCTAGTTAGCCTTGGTAATACAATGAAGTAATGTGGGTGAAAGGGTGTAAACTTTGCAATAACACTAGCATTTTATCATTGGTGTTTATATTCTTTGACTACTGATTTCAGTAAAAATGGAAATAAAGGAGATGAATCAGAGAGAGTCTGGGGTATAAAAACTTAAAACCCCCATGTCTTAATAGACATTGGGAAATAAAGGAGAGGTGGAATAAAGAATAGCTGTAGTCTCTGGCCTAGAAGATTTATGATGTAAACAAACTAAAGTGGGTCAAAGTTCAATTACTATTGGTCACAAGAATTTGAATCAATTGCCCTTTGAACACCAAGTCCTGTTTTGACAAAAAGGAATAATAATATTCACCTAGGATTGTAGAGTACTAATTCTGAATTAAATTGAATCTTAAACCATAATCATACTTATTAACTAAAATTAATTGTGGTATAGAAATTACTTTGGAACTTGATTTTATACATACGAATGGAACTGGATCCCACACCAGATGAACACATGAAAAATTTTATAACAGTTAAAGACACATTAAGCCACAATGGAAACCTCAATAATTCTGAAGTATCTTTTTTTGAAAAAAAAAAACAAAACACATTTTTAGAAAATAAGTGCCAAAACTTTAACGGAAAAAAAAAAAAACAGCTAACAAATACACATTTAGAAACATTCATGGATTAAAGAAGTAATAATCTACACAGATAATAGTTATGAAAGTTCAGTAAACAAATGCATTGTGTTTCTGTACTTTACCAAGAGTTAAAAAGGAATTGTCAAAAAGCTATGATTAATAAGAGCATCAAAAATATAAATTACCAGCCAGGCATTGTGGCATACTCCTGTAACCCCTGCTATTTGGAAGGCTAAGGCAGGAGGATTATAAGTTTAAGGCCAGCCTCAATAATTTAGGCCTTATCTCAAAAATAAAAAAGGACTGGGGAGGGTTGGGGATATAGCTCAATTGGTGGAGTGCTTGCCTTTCCATGGGTTCAATCCCCATCACCACACACACACATAAATATCTAGGGTTGTAACTAAGTGGCAAACCACATGGGATTCAATCTTGAGTGTGTGTGTTAATGTATGAATTTTAATATTGGGTTATATATTAATATTAATACTAATGTATTAATATTCATCCTAGTAAAACTGTGCAGTACCTTTGTTGAGAAAATGTTTATTGGGATTTTTTAATGTGTAAAAAGAATTTTTAAAATTAAGAGATGTCTGTACATGATTAGAAAAATATAATACTGTAAACTTTTCTTTTTTAAAATTCTAATTTTTTTCTCTAAGTTGAAAGATTGATCCTAAATTTTGTGTGCAAGAGCATAAGGTCAACAATCACAGAAACACTTCTAAAGAACAACAAAACAGAAATTTGAATAAGATAGCATGGTATTAATGGAGCTGGATAAACAGACCAATGAATTTGAGATTTCACAAAAATACTTAATATTTATAGAACTTTGATATATGACAGTGCTGGCATTGAGAACTAGTGTGGAGGGAGACTTTTTAACGAAATTATACTGGGACAATTATAGTTATTATCCATATGAAAAAGTTAAAACTAGACTCCTTATTCTACTTCACACACTCCAAGTGGACAGTGTACTTGGTTGTTAAAGACAAAACTAAATATTTAGAATACATGACCTTTTAAACCTTTGAATTAGAGAAGAAATTCTTTAAAAAAAACAACATAGGGGAGCGAGAATGTGAGGAAAAAGGTACACCCATACAGTGCTGGTGGGAATTACAAATTGGTGTAACCATTATGGAAAACAGTATGGAGCTTCCTCAGAAAACTTGGAATGGGACCACCATTTGACCCAGCTATACCACTTCTCCATTTGTACCCCAAAGACTTAAAATCAACATATTACAGTGAAACAGCCATATCAATGTTTATAGCAGCTCAAAACACAACAGCTGAACTATGGAGCCAACCTAGGTACCTTTCCACAGATGAATAGGTAAATAAAATGTGATATATATATATATATATATATCATTATTACATACATATATATATATATATACATATATATATATATGATGGAAAATTACTCAACCTTAAAGAAGAATGAAATTATTGCAATAAATGGATGGAGTTGGAGAATATCATACTAAGCAAAATAAGCCAATCTCAAAAAACAAAGATTGAACGTTTTCTCTGATATGTGAATGGCTAATTCACAATAAGTGGGGAGGCTAGGGAAGAATAGAGTTGCTTTAGATTAGGTAGAGGGGAGTGAAGGAAGGGAGGGGGCATAAGGATAGGAAGGATAGAAGAATGAATCAGATTTTATTACCCTTTGTATATATAAAACTATATGACCGGTGAGATCCCACATCATGTACAACCAAAAGAATGAGAAATTATACTCCATTCACTACACAGTTTGTAATAGCAAAAATCCAGGACCCAAGAAGTTTATTGGTAGTAAAATAGATGGATACATTGTACTATAATGATATAATGGAATACCATACAGCAGTGAAAATGAGTCAGCTGTAGCTGTACACAACACTGAATAAAAGTCATGGACAAATAAAAGTACATTTAGCATATTGTTTAATTAAATAAACTTCAAAAGAAGGGTAAATATAAAATTCAGGACAGTAGTTATTCTAAAGAGGAAGGATTTACAGAGGGTTTCAAAGACATGATAATTTTCTCAAGGTAGTGAGAACATTGGTGTTTGTGGTATTATTCCTTATTATGGGTAATGCTAGTGTGGTTCGGATTGCATTGTACATTCAGTGCTATGTACCTTATCCTGCTGTTTGTCTTTATGTGGTGACTCTGGTTCATTCTTGCTATATTTCCCTCACTGGAATCACTGTCTGATCCACCTTCAACCATTGCAGACTGCTTGTCTATGGGAAAAGCTCCTTTCCTTTGGGGTGAGAGAGTGAAAAATGCTTCTTGCCAGTTTCTTGTTTCCAGGTATCCCAGAATAATCTCAAATGCATGATTAACTGCCAAAACTTTTCTTCACAAAATTTTGAAGGGGGAGCCATACCTGATCACTTCCAAATTCTGATGCTTGTTTATATGTGAATCCCTTATGATGATTGTGATCCACTAATGCTCCAATCACCTATGTCTTTGATTTATTTAATTCCTTTAGTATATTGGGTGAATCTGAAAATTGGGTTCTTTTTATTATGAGTTCATTATAATGCTCTGGTTGATGTAGATATCCTTCCAGTTGAGCTGTCCTTTGTCATTTACATCCATGTTCTTTTTCAGTTGGCCTTCATGGCTTGTCAGGTAAAACTGCACAGGATGCAGTGCTCATTGGTTTTCTGCATAGCATTGTTGGATATGCTCATGAAGTTTCTTAATGTCCTTTCATGCCATCAAATCAGAACTGTAGTTCTGAACTACAGTTGATGATAAGGCGGAGTGTACTATGAACAGCATGTCTTCCAACACGTTTTCTGTCATTTCCATCTGAGTTTGATGTCAGTTGACACTGTTTCTCTAATTTCTTTCTATTGATTTTCTCTAATTTCTTTCTATTGAGTTTTGTTTCTTTCCACTTTTGTTTGAGAAATTCTCATTGTTCTTCCCATTGTTTCTGTGTTATTAGCTTCTTCATTTTGTCATTTAGATACTGATTCAATCCCTTCATCTGATCTTGGTTTCTCTCTTTCCTAATCTTCACTTAAGTCTTGCTTCTTTTCAACATTAAAAGTCTCAATAAATGCTGGTGACATTTTAAATGACATTATTTGGTGTTTTAAACTGAGGTGATGGAGAATGTGGTAGTTTATTCAGAAAGCCTCTGGTGTGTTCTTGATACCACTGGCAAGTCCTCCTTTGGAAGCTTCCGTGATTATTTTTTTTAACAGAATTTCTGTTTGTTGTATTGAGAGTTGACTGAGGCAAGGGTGAACACAAGACAGCTGTATTACAGTGTTACAGTAGAGAGAGATTAGTGGCGTGGACTAGCATGGGAGTGTAGAATATGTGAAGAGTGGTCGTGGTGAAGGTATATCTTGAAGAATTTACTGATTAGATATGGCATAGGAAAGAGAAAGATAGAGACAGAATTATTCTATTTTTATCATGGTAGCTATAAGTATGGGGTTATCATGAACTGAATTAGAGGTGACTGTAATAAAAAAT